CGGGAACAAGGAGCCCTTGCCGGGCTGAGCAGGACCGGAGCTGGAGAGCGGAGCACAGAGCAACAGAGGAGGTGCGGGGCTAGGGGTCCCACTTACTGGCAGGTAGTACATCCCGTCCAGGGGGCCCACCTCAGAGGCCCAGGGTAGCTGAGGGCCGCTGAAGGCCGGTGGGCCCGGGGATGGCGGCAGTGAGAGACCAGGGATAGGCCCATAGGCAGGCGGGTAGAGGCCGGGGCCCAGGGCCAGCGGGGTGTAGACTCGGCGGGCTGGCCCCTGGGGCGAGGGCGGCAGCAGCACCTCCACGTACTGCCCACTCTCGGGGTCAAAGAGAAGCCGCAGCCGAGGCTGCCGCGGCGCCTCCACAAAGTAGTAGCGGCCGCTCTCGGGGTCCACCAAGACCTTCCCCGGGTGCGCGGCCCCGGGCAGCCTGCGCGCCCCCTGGGAGGGGCCTTCCGAGTACCGGTCCATCGGAGGCGCCGAGGCAGCGCGGGCCTGGGGCGGGGCCGTTCTGCTAGCCGACGCCTGGGGCTCCCGCGGGAAGGGCGCCTGGACCGCGGTCGCGGGCTCGAGGGCCGAAGGGGGTGTCTCCCGTTTGGGTGCTATCCGAGGGCTCGGGCTAGGGTGCGCCTGCGGGGAGCTGGGGCGGGATGGTCGGGGAGGTGGGGCCCCTGCCGGCCCTATGGTGGACCGCTGGGGTGAGGGGCGAGCGCCGCCTAGAGGGCTGGTCCGACCCTCGCCGTCGGGGACGAGGCGCTGGGCCTCAGCCTCCCGGTTCTCTCCACCAGGAGCGCGCACCAGGACTCCCCGGGTTCCCTCCGGCCGGCGGCCCAAGGCCAAGGCACCAGGTAGGCGGATCTCTGTGCGCGCGAAGGGTTTCGCCGTGCTGTTCTCTGCTCTCCGCCGCAGGACTCCGTTGGGCTGCGAAGCGTCCCGGGGGACAGTGTCGGGGGACGGCTCTGGGGGCTCGTAGGGGTGCGACACGATCGGCAGAAAGTCCTTGAGAAAAACGGAAGTGTAGTGAGCTGGGGCGTGGGACCCCAGCGCCTGGAGCTCTTGCGTCTTGGATGAACCGCCCTCCTCCCCGCGGGGGTCCGCAGGAGGCGCAGGCGGCCCTGAGCCTGGGGTGTCTGCCGGAAAGCTTGGCGCGTATGTGGTCTTCACTATCTTGCGCACGTCGCGGGGCCTCGGAATGGCCACGCGCGGCCGCCCCGAGGCCGCTTCTCCAGGGCCCAAGGCTTCCGGGCGCGCATCGGCATCCACGGTGCCCACGAGACGATTGAGGGGTAGCTCGGGTGCAGCCACCTGTGGCGACACCTGACTGCCTAGGATGGCAAGATGTGGCATCTCCCGCGTGGAAGGACTCTGCGCCTCTGTTAGCTCTGGAGTCCCGGGTGCGGAAGGCGTGGGCGGCGCCAGTTCTTCTTGAGCTAAGCCATTCAGAGCTTCCTGCGTAGATACTACCGATGAGCCCTGCACTGTGGGATCCCAAGTCTCTTGGGGCGATGGGCTCCACGTCCCAATAGGACGATCTGGGGCCTCCCATGAGGACAAGGCCCGCGGGGACGGGATCCTACTCCCCTCTACCGTATCCTCGACTGCCGGATGCGGAACCTCCCACGAGGAAGGAGCTTCGGGAGATGGGCTTCTTGCCCTGGCAACACTCTGATTCCACTGGGACGGGGTCGGAGGCGAAGGGCTCCTTCTGCTGACAGTTTCCTTGAGGACAGGATCCTGATTTTCCCATGCGGAGGATGCCTCGGGGAACGACGGGCTATTCGCCCTCTGAATAGCCCGATTCCACGGAGACAGGTTCTGGGGAGACCGGCAGTGAGGACCCCGCATCGTCCCATTTGGAGCCTGCCACAGCGGGGACGGGCTCCTCGGCCTCACAGTCTTACTCGGAGCTTCCCAGGGGGTCCTAGACTCGAAAGGCGGACTCTGTGCCCTCAGGACGGTTCGATCCAGAGTCTCTCGCGGGAACTGAGTCTCAGGTTCTTGGTTGTGTGCCTCCTGGGTCTTCTCCCCTGACCGCAGGAAGATGCTGGAACTAACCGGACCCAGCGGCTCGGTCCCGGGCGCGGGCTTGTCGCGCCGGATTGCACGCTCGCGGAGGCTGGGCCACGGCCGTGGGGCCCTGGCGGGGGCTGAACTACACTGCACGCGAGGTGGCCGAGACCTGGCCTCCTCCAGGACCACTCGAGTACTGCGGGCCGTTTCTCGGGTCGCAGGCTCTAGCCGTCCCGTGGGTCTGAAGGTGGCACTGCTCGTGGCAGGGGTCGTGGGGCTCAGTTTTCTGGCCAGCACCGTCTGCACGAGGCCTGCGGCGGCCTGCAGGCGGCCCAGAGACTCGTCCAGGGAGCCGGTGCGCAGGAGCAGTCGGGGGCGTGGCGCGCCGGCCTCTCTCGGGGGACTCCGGGGCCGGGGGCGCAGCTCGATCTGCCGCTTGGGCACCGTCCGGGGCCTGGCGGGAGCGGCATGCTCCTCCAGCGCCACCTCCACACACTCGAACTGCGCTGGGGTGGCAGGACTCGGCCGCAGCTCCAGGTAGGTGGCCCAGCGGGAGCCACCGTCGGGGGCCTGGGGCTGAGGTGCAGGGGGGGTGGGAGACGTGGACCCGGGAGGAGAGAGGCTGCGGAAGGCCCGCGCCGTGAGCTGTTGCACCTCGCTATCCGCCGCGTCGGAGCGGCTGAAGAGGGGCCCGGCGCCGAAGATGACTTCCATCTCCCCCGACGGCAGCATGCGCAGCTGGGGCTGGGGTGGCCGCGGGCCCGAGCCCGGGCCTCGCGGGAAACCCGAGCCGGGCCCGAGCTGCTGGCGGCTATTCTGGGCGCTGACGGACAGGCGAGGCTGCGCGCCCGCCCCCAGCGCAGGGGCCACTCCGGGCCAATTCGCCCGGCCCTCCGCGTCCGGCCCAACGTCCGGGGGCTCTGGAGAACCCGGAGCCGTGTGGTAGGAGCCTGACGAACCGGAGGAGTCCTGGCGCCGCGCGGAGGCCGCGGGCAACCGCCCGAGGAGCCCGCGCAGGGCTGGCAGGGCGAGCGCGGTCAGCATGGTGGGGCCGGACGCGGCGCACTACCTCCCTCGCATTCGCCTCCGCTGCTGCAGCGGCCGCCCGCACTGTCCCCGCCCCGCCCGCGGATGCCGTGGGGTCACCCCGCCTTAAAGCGGCCGCATCCACTCCTGAGCCAGCGGCGTCGGCAGCCAGAGGGACCTGGGCGTTACCCTCCCACCCCCTTCTCCTCTGGCGCGGGCCGGAGTGCCTAGGTGGCACTCCAGGCTTTGGCTGACAGAAAGGTGAGGGGAAGGCAGGCGTCCAACTTGGAACCAGGAGCTAGGCCCAACACCACTCATCACAGGTGAGGAAACTGAGGCTGAGTGGGGACCTGCCTGAGGTCAAGCACTATGGCAGGTGGATCAGAGTGTGAGCTAGGGGACCAGACCTTCAGGCCAGGCAACTCAGGTCCTACTAGCAATTTCGTCTTTCCCTCAGCCCCCAGCATCTTCCCATCATCACCTTACACCCTCCTCTCTGGCCCTCTCATCACCTGTCCCAGCTAGAGCTCATAGGGTGTACCCACCACCTTCCTTGACCCCTCACCCCATAATCTTTGATAGATGAGCATCACTTGGAGGGCTCCCCCACTCCAAAAGTTGTACTGGGGCCTCAGGAAGGTGCTGTCCCTGGGTGGATCTATTGCCTTTAGTGGGAACCTATTGGAAAGAGCTGGAGAGGACAGCTCTAGCTTTTATAGGCTGCCTTTGCAACAGAACAAGCCCTGGAAGCTGATGTGGGGTCTCTTAGGAACCTTTAGGCTACCTGTGGTCCCCTCTCTAAAGCCCCTCTGAGGCAGGAATAGCCCTGTGCTCCCCCAAGCACTCACAAGACCCTCACTCCAGCCCCCACCACCTCAGGACTTGCTCTGGGGACAGGCACTGGTGGGGAAGTAGCGACCACCTGTCACTGTTCTGGGACAATGACAATGGGTACCACTTGCCCTTAAACTTCTGGCTTCAAGGTCCTGCTATGACTCAGGCCCCAGCTGGCCTTGGAGCAAGAGCACTGGCCCCTCCTGCACTCATCCTCACAATGACCCAGGAAAGGCTAGACTCGATAAATCTCACTCGGCCTCCTCTGAGTGGGGCCCCTGCCTGAGTGTGTCCCCATGGTCACCTAGCCATCAATGAGCGCTTTCTGAGAGAATCAAGCCTGTCCATCACATCCAGCCCTGCATGTGCAACGTCAGCAAGTTATAGCCCCTTCATAGACTGTTTTCCCACCTTAAAAATAGAGCATTGTCCTTTTCCCTTCTTCCCATTTGTGAAGCCTGATAAGCTTCTGTCTGGGGGAAGTATAAGAAGGTACAAATGTGAATCACAGGTATAACATTTCTGTTATATGATGGAAACTGATTTCCCAAATCATTGTGGTCCTGGAAACCCACCGTCTTTAACATCTCTGGTCAGGGCTACACACCCTCATCCACACACACACACACACACAGCCCTTCCTGCTCTACGGCCAAATTGGGAGAGTTAAATTTATCAGGGCACTGGGAGTGGGGTAGGGTGTTACTGGGGTAACCAGGGCTGTTTATATTGGGAGGGATTAAATACAGAGAGTAACAAGGGACACTGCCTACTAGACAACAAAGTAGTCCTGCCCTAGGCTACAACCCTATACCCCAACTACTACCCAAGGGAGGGAGGGAAGTAGCAGGGGCTGAGGGCTGGAGCAGCATCCTTTTCTGAGCCTAGGGCTCACTGGCCTGGGAGGTGGTGGTCCAAGGCCTGTTCCCCACCCAGTCCCTGGTAACTTGATTCTCACTTAGGTCACCGAGGCCCAGGAGGCAGGCAGGGAAGAAATAAGGAGAGTACCTTCTGCCTCTTCCCCTGCCCCTTCCCTGAGGGCCAGGCCACTGGTGAGGCCTGGGTTGGGGTGACCCACAGGGATAGGAAGGTTCAGGATGGGGACCCCCACAGCAGAGAAGGCAGAGTCGGCATTACAGCCAGACAACAGGAAGGCGACGACCATTTTATTTTTCCCTGGGACGCTGGTGGCTCCGGGCCTGACGCGTCCCTGAGGCTTTCTTATGCTTCTGGTCCAGCACCTGGGCCATGTAGTTCTCCTGCTGCTTCTGGATCCGGAAGTCAGACATGTGATTCCTGTAACGGAGCCAGCTGGGCGTGGGCTGGGGACAGCCCAGGGTAGGGGCCAGAGGTCTAGCTTCCTGCTTCCATCAACAACCCCCAGCCTGGCCCAGACCCCTCACCTGAAGATCTGTTTCTGCTGGCTGATAACTTGCTGCAACTCCTTAATCTCATTCTCTTTGCCATTAAGTATATCTTCTTGCTTTATAATGTGAGACTCAATTTCTGTGGGGGAGAGAGGCAGGGAGGAGGGGTGGTTCCCGTCCCATGGGCTCCTTCCTGAGTCTTTTCAGAACCTGGCTCCCCCCACCCAGGGATTCTCCATGAGTAGTTGCTAATACTTTAGTAAGAATGAGTTTATTATGGAGTCGTGACAGGGTGACGGTGGGGGCACAATGTCTGATGACTGTGTCAGTGACTTCACAATTCTATTCTGGACCAGGTGACTCGCACGAGGGCAGGCCAAGGCCCTTGGAGAGAGGTGGGCAGCCCCACCCAAAGGCAGGAGAATGAAGGGCTCCTGCTTTCAACTCGTGCAGATCTTTACAGATGTTACCTCCTTGGCCAGTCCCTTCCTAGTCAGAAATTACAACCCTTCCCAATACTATCCCTTTCTCCTGCTTTATTTTTCTTCTTAGCGCTTATATCTAATATATCATATATTTTACTCATTTGGCTTCTTCCCTACTAGGATGTAAGGTCCACAAGGACAAGGATTTTTGTTTTATTCACTGCTTTAACTCGAAGGCCTAAAACAATCCCTGGCACACAGTAGGTGCACAATAAATTTATGTGTGGAATGAATGAACAGGAGGTCCCTTGGGAGGTTAGGACTTAGAAACATCACCTAGTTAAGTCATCTCAATCCAACCAGACCTACTGAAGGCCAGCTGGACACCAGCCCTGTGCTAGGGCCTCAGGGGAGAAGACAGGGTCCCCGCCCTGGAGGAGGCAGCTCCTGAAAGATGAGTTAAGACGCAGGAACTGATCAGAGAACAGAAGGAGGTGACGTTTCAATAAAGTTAATACTGATGAGACAGTATTATTACTTTGGGCAAGTTGCCTCCTTTTTCAGACCCATGTCTTCCTCTGTAAGATGGGGACAGAGACAGCCCCTATTCCACAGGGGAGTGGGAGGATCCAGGGAGATAGTGGTGGCAAAGCTTACCCCCAAATTAAGTGCTCATTAGATGCAAGGATGATTTTTGTGTCTTGGGTCAAAATCCAATGAGGCTGTAGTGATCTGGTGCTTCATTTATATAACTGTCCCTCAGGCAGCCCTGGAAAATTCTGATCCTCACAGAAAGAAAATCCCACTGCCTTTAAAGATGGGACAAAGATTAACTAGAACACAAGCTCTGAAAATGCAGAAATACTGAAGCACGTAAGGTTTCAGAAGAGAAGACCTGGTGAAAAGTTAAGGTACCGCATGGAAAAGAGGAAAGAAACAGAGACACAGGTGAAGGAAGAGAATGAAAAGCTGAGGTCAGTGGGTTAGAGGACCAGGCCTTTTGAACCTCCTTCCCCAGGTCATCCAGCTAATCCAGACTGATTGCTTGTGAAGTTCTTTTGGGAAAAGGCATCAGAAATTTGTGTGAATCTTTAAAAATAAATGAGAAAAGATTCAAAAATTTTAAATAAATGGCACCCAATGAAAGAATGGTTAGAAAATCCATTTGAGAAGAATAATGAACTATGTAAGTGTAAAAGCAGACACACACAAAGGCAGGTGGGGTCACAGGCCAGGGTGAGGCTCAGGTCACCAGGTCTGTGCCCCACTGGAGGGATTCAGGACATTCTGGGGGGAGGCAGCCAGGCTCTATCTCCATGACTCAGACACACCTTCCACAAGCACACAGAGCCCTGCGGCCTTGGCTGATCTCTAGGAAATTCCCTAGAGGAAAGATGTCTCTAGTACCACCAGGAAAGAACCCTAGGTTCCTTTTAGGGAAGTGGGGGGATGCCCAGGGAGAGAGAAAGGACTGAGGTCCAGTGGCCTGGGGTATGGAGGTAGTGACTGCCTGTTGGGCCCCAGGAGGCCAAACAACCATGAGGCCTGTCCATCCACCCCCTTGATCTGGCCACCTGGGCTGGCATCCTACCAGTGAGAGTATTCACCAGGGGAGGGAGAGGGCTGGATTGGTCGGTAGGAGTGCCCAAGGCTTCAGGTGGGAGCCCATAAGGAGAGACCTTGAACCTGTTTGGGGCTTGGGCTCTGGTCTCTGGCCTACTCAAAATCTGTTGCAGTGTAGGAAGCAGATGTTGCATATAGAATTTACACCCACTTCTTAAACTAGGTAAGGGGAATTCAGCATTCTGGGAAGATGAAAGGGGTTTCTGAGGTCTAGGGACACTGAGTAGCTGACTGGAAGTACCCCACAACTCACAGCACCAACTGAGCCAACAAGTGGCCACAGGCATCTGCATACAGCAGAGGTGAAAACTAATGGCACACAGACATTTTTTACTTGGCCCATACAATATGTTTAAAATTTCTAAATCAGTTGTCAACACTAAAAAGTCAGAAAAGCTGCCATTAAAGCCTGGATTTCAGTTTCTTTTTTAAAGATCTAACAATACTGGGCCCCCATTCCCATAGCAGAGGTGCTAAGCCCTTGAGAGGGGGCATGGCTCTCTGTACCACCACAGTCCCCACTTCTCCCTATTAGGTCCCCAACCCTGAGACTAAGGGTCAGCTCCCAAATAGGACTGTGCTTGCCCTGTTGTTCCTCTTGTAACAGTTATGAGTAAAGTACACTATTTCTAATACCCATCAAAAGTGGGAAAACAAAAGGTGGACTAAGAAGGTTGTATGTTTCAAGAAAAATGGGAGCGAGCCCGTTCCTTTATGGCCATGAAGAATATTGTACACCAACTGCTTCCCTCATTTCCGTGGCCTGCCTGGTCCCTGAAGACCTTTGCGAAGGTGTGGCCCGCCTGGGCCTGCCTGTATCCTCAGCCGGGGACAGAAGTTGGGGTGAAACCCTGCCCTGGACACGGGCACCAGGCTGTTAGGGAAAAGCCCATGTATGTAAGCATGGGGGGCAGCGCGGGCCTCCCGCCTACCATTGCATTTGGTGATGAGCTGGTCCTTCTTGCTGGACTCCTGCAGGGCTCTGCTCTTGACACTGGAGAGCCTGGGTGGAGAAGAGAAGAAAGGATGGGAAGGGTGACAGGCAGACGAGACCTCCAACCTTCACCCCCTCTACCAAGGCCCACTCACGCCTTTTCAAAGGCCAGCTTCTCTTTCTCCAGCTGTTTAGACAGCACCTCTACCTCTCCGAGGGCAAACTGCAACTTCTCCTCTTCCTTGGCCAGGAGGACCTTGGTCTTGGCATGGGCAGCTTTCTCTTCCTGCAGGGGCAGCAGCAGTGACCTCATTACCCCAAGCCACCCTGGGTTACCTAGGCTCCCTTAACCAGCCCCCTTTCTCTGAAGGGCACATAGAAGCCATACAGGAAGATTCTGTCTTCACTACTGGGGCCGGAGGCTCTCAGAGGCCAATACTCAATGACTCTGCCCAGTCACAGAGATCCTGGGAAATGGGGAAGATTAGGAGCCTGCAGAGGCCATTACTTACCACCAGCTTCTTCTCCACTGCCTGGAACTCTTCTTTACTGACAAAATTTTCATCCTGGAGAACCATCTGCAACAGAGCCTGGCTCAGGGAGGGCCTGGGGCTGGGGTGGGAGGGGTGCCCTCTAGGGACCAGGACCAAGGACAGAAAATGGGATGATGCCCAGGGCACCTAGGATGAGACTTGGGCCCAGAAGGGAGAATTCCGTTCCACAAGATTCACAGAGGCTCAGCTCTAGGTTCTGCCTTCAAGGAGCAACCAGCCTCATGGAGGAGATAGCCCCTGGCCAGCACTTCTAACATGGGGTGTACTATGATGTAGAAGCACAAAGGACTGCCCAGAGGAGGCCCCTGACTTGGCCTGGGGAAGGGTCAGAACTGCTTCTGGAGAAGGGGATGTCAGACCTGAGATCTGACTGCTAAACAAGGGTCAGCCAGAAGAAGAGAGGTGGAAGAGAAACGTGTTCCAGATGGTGAGAACACACACGCAAAGGCCAGCTGCCAAGAGAAAGACTGGGTCCCTTAGGGAACTGAAGGTAATTCAGTGCCTAGAGCTGCATACAGCCATTAGAATGAGAAATAAATGTAATGTCAATTTTATTTCTGAGATGGAGATCTCTCCCCACCTTCTTATCAGGAAAGAAAACAAAAACAGAAAAACCATGAACTCTAGTTGACCACGATTTTACCATGCCTGTGCAGGTAATCTGTGGCTCCAATGATTTGCACCCATGAACTGGGGTTTGATTGAGAAGGCAAAAGCAAAGGGGCATAAAGGGGATGGAAGCCCTTAAATTCACGTGTGCAAGAGCCAAACCTGTGCTTATTGCATTCAGCATGGCACTGCATTAGACACTGCGGAGGGGCTGTCCATGATAGAAAAGATGTTATAATTTCTCGGCCTGCACACGAGGGCCTTGGGAAGTCAGTAAAGTCATCTCCAATTAGAAATGGGGAAACTGAGGCTCAGTATCTACTGGGCCCTGCACAATCAGGCAAAGAGAGTAGAGAACAACTTGATTTTGATTGAAATTCTGTGGTAAATATTCATAAAGACTCTGACCCTTTCTGGCTCCACCTCTACCAGCCAGCACACCTCTGGGCCCCGCCTCCTCCTGGTGACGCCATTGAGAACGTGCTCCCTGCACGCCCCTGGCATCTGGACAGGGTCTGGCCCCGCCCCCACCACTTTGGCGTCCAGTCCGGCCTCTCCTCCAGCTCTCTGGCTGCGTACCACGTTCCTCAGCTGGTGGATCAGTTCCTCCTGAGACTCAATCACGTCCCGCAGTTGATCGAAGGCGAGACATACCGATCCTGACCCCCACTGCGAACACCCCAGGGGCGTCGCCATCTTTCGCCCCCACCAGCTCGTTGGAAATGGCCGCCCCTGGGAGCCTCACCACCGTCGCCCACCAATGAGAATGCGACGCCACAGAGCACCCTGGCAACGTGGGGCGGGGACTTCCTTTGTTAGCGGCGATGGGGCCCGCCTCTTAAAGGAGCCGCCGGGGCCAGGGGAACCTCTCATAACCCTTAGGGCTTTAAGTCCAAAGGAAATTTGCCCATCTGTTTTATCTTGTGTTTCTCACTTAGTCCTGCGGAGCAGGCAGAGCCCGGCTTATACTTCCTTTAAGGCCCAGTGAACAGGCAACACTCAGACACCAGCCCTCAGCCTTCTCCCAGGGCTTGTTAACATGCAAGACCGTGAAGCAAGAGTCACCTAAAGCAACCTCTGCGTCTTGAGCTTCACATGCCTCTTTCTCCCACCCTAATCTCTAAATTTCCCCCAGAGTATGAGAATCTAGCCTCCTGTGATCTCTCTTCCTCCTAGGGACACACTTAGTACTTAGGGGACCTGAGCCTAAGCAATGAAGGACAGCTCAAGAACAGAAAAGGGGAGTGGCCTTACCCAAAATAAGAGTTCTCATACTCTTATGTACCAGGCTCTGAGCAGCCACACTGGAACCATGTGCGACCACGTCAAGGTGCTGGGAAGGGCCCTGAAGAGCCTGAAGTCATTAGGGAACTGAAGTGGGGCATGAAGGAGACTTCTAAAACGGAAGTAGGGAAGGATAAGGTGATTACACGTCTTCACCAAATCCCCATTGAGGGCTTTTTTCTGAAACCCTAATAAGATTAAGCTTGGGGAAAATCAGAGCTAAAATTTACTGTTTTGTGGTACCATTATGCCTTGTTAGTATTATTTCATGTGATCCTCATAATAACCTTGGGAAGTAGGTTTTAATGTCCCCATTTTACAGATGAGGAAATGCAGGTTCTGTGAGAATGAATAACTTGCCCAGGGTCACCCAAGCTAGTAAGACTTGGAACAGAGTTTTGATGTGGGCAGTTGGATTTCAGAGTCCATGTTCTTAACCATGATGCTGTGCTGCATCTGTGTTGAATATAACGATACTCAACTTATGATATTTGATACTCCCAAGCAGGAAATGGCTATATAAAGAAGGAATTTGGAAAAAATGTTATCAGTGACCAGAAAGGGAAGGTGAAAGTACAGGTAAGCCTCCCACACTGCTCCCCAAAGCTCCCTAGGGGCCTCTTTTTGGGATGGATGTTGTGGCCTGACAAACATGGCCATTCCTGTGAGTCTCCCAGTGATAGCCCTTGTTTTTTCTTTCCTTGTTTCTTGTGTCTATTCTCATGCCCTTGAGGGCAAGGCCATTTCTATTGACTAACCTTAAGGGCCTAGAGCAGTACAGTCCAATAGAACTTCTGTGATGGAAATGTTCTACATGTGCACTGTCCAATACTGCAGCTACTAGCCACAGGTGGCTATTCAGCACTTGAAATGTGGCTCATGGGACTGAGGAGTTGCTTTTTAAATTTTTAAAAATTTTAATTAGTTAATATTTAAATTTAAATAGCCATATGTGGCTAGTGGCTACTCTGTTGGACAATGTGGGTCTAGAGGGTGTTGTGTAGGTTGTGTGCCTCAGCACAGAGCCTTCTTGGAACTTTGTCTATCAAATGTGAATGTTCACCTGAATCACCCTGGACAAAGGCACACATTCCTCTAGGGCAGTGATCCCTGAATCTTCTTCTTGAACTTTGTCCTCTCTCAAGGGTCTTTCATGAGGTGCGGCTTGATATCATATATATAATTATATCCCTTGCCACTCAAAGTTCACCTCCACCAGCTGGAACAGGATGCCCTCCACCTTTAGGACAAAACCCTGGAGTGCAGTGGGCTCCAGTAGCCAGTTCCCTGGGGACGGGAGGTTATAAGAAAGAGAGAACCCTGGATCCAGGTCTGCACCCTGTATACCAGCACAAACATGAGGGGTGGTCACCCTGGTTAAGGACTGCCACAGACTCCCACTCTGTGAGTCAACAAACACTATGGGCTTCCGGCCAGCAGGGGCCTAGTGAGGCTCAGAATGACATGTCATCACAAATAGCTCTGTATTCCTGCCCCAGGAGGGCTGCCTTTCTGCACAGAGGTGTCATCCTGGTTGATGTTGCAGTTATCTATTGCCGTGTAACAAACAATCCAAAATTTATAGCTTAAAAAAAATCATTTTGCTCAGGAGTCTTCAATATAGGCAGGGTTCAATAGTGAAAGCTCATCTCTGCTCCATGAAGTATCAGCTGGGATGGTTGAGGTGTGGGGTTGGAGGGGAGGCTAGAAGTTTCGCTTCCTAGATGGCTTACTCACATAACTGGCAAGTTGGTGCTGTCAGCTGGGAGCTCATCTGAGGCTGAGGACCAAGGGTCTTGTTCCTCTCCATGGGCTCCTTGGGCTTTCTCCCAGCATGGTGATTGGGTTCAAAAGAAAGCATCCCAAGTGATAAGAAATGGAAGATGCCAGTTTCTTAAGACCTAGGCCTAAAAATTGGCAGAGTGTCATTTCTGCTGTATTCTATTGGTCAGGGGAGCCAGAGTCCAGATTCAAGGAGAGGGGACACATTCCACCTTTTGATGGGAATAGTTTCAAAGAATTTGGGCTGCACTTCCAGAGAAAGTCCTGACAGATGACATGTCATTCCCTTCAAGGTTCAGCTCAGATAAAACCAGACTGGAACTCAGTCTAGTAGGGGACACAGACAATAATCAAACACCCAAATAAATCCTAAATTAAGTCATTATTAAAATAAATAGCACTATAGCTATGACCAGTGCTAAGAAAAAGAGGAATGAGAGTAAAGGGAGATTTAGCCCAGTCTGGGGTGTCAGGGAAGGCTTCTGTGAGGAAGTGATGTCTGAGCTGAAACCTATTAAGATAACCAGGAGACACTTAGCAAAGGGGGTAGGGGCAGGTGAGGGGGAAAATGTTCCAGAAAGAGGAACAGTATACACAAAGTCCCTAGGGGGAAAAGGGGTTGGCAGAGCGTAGTAATTAAAAGGCTAGCATGGGGGCCAGCTCCGTGCCTGGTGGTGAAGTTCGGTGTACTCTGCCTCGGCAGCCCAGGTTCATGGGCCTGGATCCCAGGCGTGGACCTACACCACTCGTCGGCCATGCTGTGGGGGTGACCCACATACAAAATAGAGGAAGACTGGCACAGGTATTAGCTCGGGGCCAATCTTCCTCAGGAAAAAAAAAAAAAGGCTAGTATGGAAGAAAAGAAAAAGATGTGCAGGGCAAGCAGGGGTAGAGACCAGAAATGTGGTAGAGTCTTGTTAAGCAACAGGCCATGCTAAAGACTGATGTTTTTATTCTGGGGACAAAAGAAGCTATTGAAATATTTTAAGCAGTAGGGTGACATGATATAATTTATGCTTTGAAAAGATCTCTCTAGTTGCAGTGAAGTGTACAGATTGGAGGGGACCCTGAGTAGATGCACAGAGACTGCTTACACTTAGCAGGCTTCTGTAGTAGTTTTTGTCAGAGAAAGTGGATGGTAGTTTGTGAGTCAGATGGTGTCAGAGATGAAGAGAAAAGATGGATTTAGGATGTTCTGGAGGTAAAATTGATAGGCGGTAATGAGGGGATAAGAGAAAAAGGGAGTCAAGGTGTTTTGGTTGTCTACCGCTGCAAACAAACTACCACAAAATGTAATGGCTTAAAACAGCAACCATTTTATTATTTGCTCACAATTCTGCAGTTTGAACAGGGATTGGTGGGGCAGCTCATTTCTGCTCTGACCATCAGCTGGGGTGGCACAAACATCTTGGCTTGGTTTATATGTCTGGGTTCTAAGTTCTTGTGGCCAGCTCAGTTGTTTGGTTCTCCATGTGGTTAGCTTAGTGGTCTCAGGGTGCTTGGACTTACATGGCAGCGTCCTCCCCTAAGTGCAAAAATGGAAGCTGCTAGCTTTGCCACATTCTATTGGTTAAAGATCAAAAACAAGCCCAGATCAGAAAGGGGACTACATGAGGGCACGAATATTAGGTGTAGTCCATTGAGGGACACCAAATTAAGTCTACCACACAAAGTTTCCTGGGTTTCTGGCTTTTGTACTTGGATGGATGGTGGTGCTATTCATGGAACTGGAAGCACCCAAACAGTGTTGCTTCTATCTCCATTAAAAAAAAAAAAAACTTGAGCCAGTCCTGATGGCCTAGTGGTTAAAGTTCAACGCTGTCACCACTTCGGCGCCCCAGGTTCGTTTCCCAGTCGCAGAACCATACCACTCATCTGTCAGTTGCCATGCTGTGGCGGTGGCTCACATAGAAGAACTAGAAGGACTTACAACTAGGATATACAGCCATACACTAGGGCTTTGGGGAGGGGGAAAAAAAGAGGAAGACTGGCAACAGATGTTAGCTTAGGGTGAATCTTTCCCTGCCAAAAAAAAAAAAAAATCCCTGCACTCTGTATGAAGGGTGATTATGTTTCAATTTCTCTTTTCTTCAGAATTGCTTTCACTGATACCTCATACTGGATTAATCCCTTTGTTATAGATTCCCAGAGTTCCCTTGGTCTCTCCTTTGACATTTATCCCACTGGGGAACATTGTCTAAAGTTAACTTCCCCATTAGCTGTGAGCTCCAGGAACCTTAGGCTGGGTCTCATTTGTTCCCTGACCTCCATCCCAAAAGCCCAGCCCACCTGGCACATAGTAAGTTCTCCATCTTTGCTGAATTGAATCTCATCTCAATCTTTCTTCAAATGAAAGGTATTATTATGACCAT